GATCTTCTGACCCGGGTCAATCCAGACCCGGGTCAGCAGGAAATCGAAAACCGCAGTGCAGGACAAAACAAAACTGCAACGCAGGTCTTCGCAGACCCGGGTCAGCCAATAGGCGCGGCCGCCTCGCGGCCACGAGCGGCTCGCTGACCCGGGTCAGCCAGAGGGGGTCTTCGCAGGATCCTGCAAGATCTGGCGCCCTGGCTGACCCCCGTTTGCATTGACCCCCGCCTCAAGGCTCCCGAGGGGCTCGAGTCGTCGATGGCCGCGAAATGGCCGAAGAAAGATGCCTCCAAGACGCCCCAAGAGGCCTCCAAGGGGCCTCCCAAGTCGACCCAACCAGGCACGCATTATTGATGTCCCCATGGGTTTTTGACAGACTTCGGCGTTCCCGTCGTTTTGGCTTCTCGACGCTGCATTGCTGTCCAGCAGGCTTTCAAGACCGCCCCAAGACGGCCCAAAAGGCCTCCAAGAGGGCCACATACGGCCTCCAAAACGACCCAGGGTCTCCTAGACGGCCCAAGCGGCCGCAAGACGGCTCCAAAAAGGGGCCCAAGCGGGGGTCCCGAACGGACATGTCGAGCACTTGGCCCCCACTGATATCGGTCGGCGCTCTTGCGCTAGATACACTTATACAAATATACATGTATTCGCTTAACGGCTGATCAGGAAGCGTACACCCACAAGTAGCGTTGCACTCGCTCAGAGGATGATGTAATCGCATAGGTTGGATAGCTTAGTCGCAGGCGGCCCAACTAACCTAGCGCGCATCTTGGACGCATTCTGCACTTCGGTGACTTGTAACTTCTGACGCTGCCGATAGCTATCGGACTTACCATCTAACTTGTGTACGACTTATCTTACTTATGGGACTTACTATGTAGCCCAACAAATGCTCAGCGGGGGTTGCCCCACCCCCATATTCCAATCTCCCGTCGTCGTCGTCGTCGTCCTCCTCGTCGTCGTCGTCGTCGTCGTCGTCGTCCTCGTCGTCGTCGTCGTCGTTTTCGTCGTCGGTTTCGGAGGCGCCGCTTCTGGTCGTCGGCGTCGTCGTCGTCGTCGTCGCTTTGTTTCAGCGGAAGCGCCGCTTCTGGTCGTCGGCGTTCGCTTCAGCGGAAGCGCCGCTGACCTGGTCGTCGTCGCCGTCGTCGCGTTCGTCGTTCGCATGCCCGCTTGACGGTTTCAAGGCTCGGGATGGGAAAGGGGGGGGCGAGGAGGTGGAGGAGGGGGGCAAGGAAGGAGGAGGAGGGGGAGGAGGTGGAGGACACGCTCAACGAGGAGGATGAGGAGGAGGAGGAGGAGGAGGAGGAGGAGGAGAAGGACGAGGAGGTAAACTCTGCGCGTGTAGCTCTGCTCGAGCACCTGCGCTTCGCGCTCGAGGTCCTAGAAGTGGCCGCGTATTCGCGCGGCCTCACGGCGCAGCGAACGCAGCAGCGATGCGCTCAGCGCAACGCGTGCAGGGCCCGCCCGCGGCCGTCATCCCACGGGTTCTCCACGTCGAGCCAGCCCGCCTGGTCGCCCCACGCGTGAGACTGCACCCGCGACCGAGCCTCCCACCTGTACTTCTTCTTCGGCACCATGCGGATCGACCTGCCCTTGCAGTCATGGCCGTGCCACTCCTCGCCGTTCTTGACCAGCACCGTGGTCTTGAGCGGAACGTCCGTGAGCTTGGGGCCGCCGCCCCGGCTCGTGCCGCTGAGGCAATTGAACCGCGCGATCATCATGTTTTCGGCCCGCAGCCCACGTAGCCGTGCCAGGTCTGTCAAGTTCGAACGAGACATGTACATGACGTAGTTGCGCTGGTCGCCGATGTGCATCCGAGTCTCTCGGTACGGCGACGTGTCTGGCAATGACTCGTTGATGTAGTCGCGCACCGTCATGGCGCGCCGCATAAGCACTGGCAGCGGCACCGCGATGGCGACAGCTGGGGAGCCCACTGCAGGACAATTCGCAAACAGAGAGCGGCAGCCCCGCTGCTTGAGCCCACACTTGGCTACGGATGTATCCCTATAGATAGGGGCGCGCCCGCCAACAGCTCAATGGTCAGAGGATGATGGTGGGAGGAAGGAGGGGGGAGAGAGGAGGAGGAAGGAGAGCGTTCGTTTCAGCGGAAGCGCCGCATACCTGGTCGTCGTCGTCGTTTTCGTCGTTCGCATCCCCGTTTGATGTTTTCAAGGCATACATATATATATACACATAAATTAGCAAGGCCGTGCGCTCTTTAAACCAGCACCACATAGGCGCCCCCATCGCGGTGCCACGTGTGGGCCGCGTGAGCATCGCGCATGCTAACTGCCATCGGCTCCCGCGAAAGCGAAAACCATCTGCTTGAGCGGGCGCGACTGCCAGTGGGCAGCAATTTCCTGACGACAACGCACAGCGCCCCACGTTCACAGACGCAGGCCGACACGAGGCCAACACCATCCCCGACCAAAACCACGTCGTGAACGTGCAACTCGCGGCCATCCTCCCAGGCGCCATGACCCAACTCCACATTTGGATAGCCTGGCAATTCCTTTCTAGACCCGAGAAGGCCCTCGCGGAGGGATTGCGCACCATCTGCCAAATCATTGTGGTGCCTCGTCAGCAAGTTCGAGAGGACAGAGTGCTCGTGCCGCTCTGTGTTCCTGACGCTGTTCTCTGCGGACTGCTTGACGCGAATATTTAAGCGCTCAACAACGAACATGTCGACTACAAACTTGTCTTTCCAAATTTGGTCTGGAATATGCATCATGGCGTGGTGCTTCGGAAGTAAATACCTCCTGCCGTATGCGGCTGCATGCCTATCCATGTGTATACGAAGAGCGGCCCTGAGCTCATTGAGCATGGCTGCGGGCCCATTCTGCGGGGCCCTCTTAGCCTCGAGGACGAGGCCCAAGACAGCACATGCTGCGCTGAAAGACCCGTTCCCCCTCTCAAGGCCAGGGATGTCGAGCAGTCTGCATTCGACAAAATGCCGCATGATAACATACAAGGATATGTAATCACCTGCCTTGCACCGAATCTCCGACTCCTCCTCGGAGGACGCGGAAAATGCGTCGTAGACTTGGCTGATCTTGACGCCCATTGATAAAGGGAACGTCCAATCCACCTTCACCAACTCACCCCGCATCTCGAACATAATTCCCAGCTTGCCCTCGCACGCCCTGACGTAAGCCGTGCACTCCCAAGAAAATGCGCCATGTTGTAAATAATGGTGCGCCCAGTCTGTGCGGATGATGTCAGATATGTCGAGGATGCCGCACAAAGCCTCATATGCTAGAAGGCCCAGTGGGTTTGGGTTGAAGCCGACGCCCTGAATGAGCTCCTTGAAATCCCCAACGCCCATGGCCCCAGCGTCACGCCTCGCTTTCGCCGCCAAAACGGCAGCCACATGTGCAACCATGTCCTTGTGATCACGCAACCGAAATTTCGAGAAATCTGAACAAGATATATCGTAGCACCCTGGAATGAGATGTGGCTCCTTCTTCCAACAATAGCCGCAAAAAATGCATGGCTTGTGGGGGCTTGCGCCCGTCCAGTCGAACGTCATCCTGTGGCCGCCGAGGTCGGTTAAAACACCTTCCACCGTCGCGAACAGCAGGCGCGTTTGGCCGAGCGCACCCAACGCCGCGCCCGCGTCTCTGAAGGACAGGGGGCCAAGCGGGATCTCACGCAGAAGTATTGCGAACAATCTGGACCACTTGCCCTCGACCTTGCCTATGATGCGATCCCGAATCACAGCGAAGGTCATCCAGGTTGTCTCGTGGCTCAAAACTGATCCCCCGAGCTCTAAAACATTGAAAGAAACAACCATGGTTTTTCGTTTGGTTTCCTGCATTTTTTGTCGCCAGCCGTGTGCTCGTCTAAGCCGATGACCATGCTCCAAGGCCTGTCAATCGAGCACGGGCGCCTCGAGAAAGCATTCGAGAAACACGTCTGCAACTCGCCCGAAGCAGCCACCATCTCCTGGGGAACGAAAGCGGGCTGGCAAACCTCCCATCGCCATGGTTCGCCAGTTGCCAAACGCAGATCGACGTCGAACCTCGCCCTCTCGAACAACTCGTTGTTTATAGCGCGAAGCTTCTTTTCGCCGACAGGCTCGCAACCGAATGTCGCGGCAATCCGCGCTAACCCATCCAGCGATATCCCGCCCGTGTGCAGCGCGGACTGATGTCTCAAACGCTTCTGCGCTGCGTCGTGGGCCATGGAGCGGAAAATGCCGCTGCTACGGATGGGGGAGAGGGGGTGGGCGCATGCCAATTGGGGGGGGGAGGGCGGGCGGAGGACATGCCATATGAGAGGGGGGGGCGTGCCAATTTGGGGGGGGGGGGCAGAGGATATGCGCACCCATGTGGTTCAGTCAACCCCACCAGCCCTGGGCGTAGGCGGCCTAGATCGCTTCCTCTCCCGACCCCCGTTCCTGGGGCCGGCGGGCGGGCGGTGTGTGTGTGTGTTGGTGCGTTTGTGTGTGTGTGTGTGCGTGTGCGTGTGCGTGTGAGTGTGCGTGTGCGTGTGTGTGTGTGCGTGTGCGTGCGTGCGTGCGTGCGTGTGTGTGTGTGTGTGTGTGCGTGTGCGTGTGCGTGTGCGTGTGCGTGTGCGTGTGCGTGTGCGTGTGTGTGTGTGTGTGCGCGTGTGTTTGTGCGTGGGTGCGCGCGTCGCTCAAGGTGGCTTCCAAGATGGTCCAAGAGGGCCCAAGACCGCCCAAGGACGGCCCCAAGTGGCCAAAGGGCTCTCCATGGAGCCCCCCCCCAATATATACATATATATATATACACATACACACACATATATAATAATAATAATAATAAAACCTGCGCCTCCTCTCATCCCTCTTTCTCCTCGCCCCCCCTCCCCTCGCCCCTCTTCCTCTCGCCCCTCTGACCATTGAGCTGTTGGTGGACGCGCCCCTATGTATAGGGATACATCCGTAGCCAAGTTTGGCCTCGAGCAGCGGGGCCGCCGCTCTCTGTTTGCGAATTCCCCTGGGCTCTCCAACTGTTGCCGCGGCGGCGCCAGCGTTTATGCAGAGCACTCTGACGGTGTACGACTGCATCACCGAGTCGACGCTTGAAACGTCGCCGTATCTCGAGACCTTGATGCACATCGAGGAGCAGCACAACTACGCCATGTACATGTCTCGTTCGAATTCGAACGAGTGGCGCGTGACCGACTGGCACGGCAACGTGAGCTACTGACCGAACAACATGATGATCGTGCAATTCAATTGCCTCGGCGGCACCAGCAAGGACGCCGGCGGCCCCAAGCTGACGGACGCGGTGCTCAAGACCACGGTGCTGTTCAAAACGAACGGCGGCGAGTGGCACGGCCACGACTGCAAGGGCAGGTCGATACGCATGGTGCCGAAGGAGAAGCACAAGTGGGATGCGCAGTCGCGGGCGCAGTCTCACGCGTGGGACGGTCAGGCGGGCTGGCGCGACGTGGAAAACCAGTGGGGCGACGGGCGCGGGCGGGCCCTGCAGATGCGCTGAGCATCGCTGCAGCGTTGCTCGCTGCGCCGCGAGGCCGCGCGACCGCGCGGGCCATTTCTAGGACCTCGAGCGCGAAGCGCAGGTGCTCGAGCAGAGCGACGCATCCTCCACCTCCTCCTCCTCCTCCTCCTCCTTTTGAGCGTGTCCCCCACCTCCTCCTCCCCCTCCTCCTCCTTCCTTGCCCTCCTCCTCCACCTCCTCCCCCCTCCTTCATATGTATATATCTATATATATATATATATATATATATACCCTGGCGAAGAACCCAACCGTATGCAATTGAGGGCACCGCGTGGTGGGTACCGCCTTCGGTGGAGCTCCCTATGCTGCTGCGACCCGTGTGAGGAGCGCGCCGACATGGGGCGGGGCCGCCATGCGAACCCTGCCACTGGGGACTTCGGTGGAGCTCCCTCTGAGGCCACGAACCGTGTGAGGGGTGTGCCGAAATGGCCCGAGGCCGCCATGCGAACCCTGCCGCTGGGGCCTTCGGTGGAGCTCCCTATGGGGCCACGGTCCTCGTGAGGGGTGTGCCGAAATGGCCCGAGGCCGCCATGCGAACCCTGCCGCTGGGGCCTTCGGTGGAGCTCCCTATGGGGCCACGGTCCTCGTGAGGAGTGTGCCGAAATGGCCCGAGGCCGCCATGCGAACCCTGCCACTGGGGCCTTCGGTGGAGCTCCCTATGGGGCCACGGCCCTTATGAGGGGTGTGCCGAAATGGCCAGAGGCCGCCATGCGAACCCTGCCGCTGGGGCCTTCGGTGGAGCTCCCTATGGGGCCGCGATCCTCGTGGGGGGTGCGCCGAAATGGCACGAGGCCACCATGCGAACCCTGCCGCTGGGGCCTTCGGTGGAGCTCCCTACGGGGCCACGATCCTCGTGAGGGGCGTGCCCGAATGGCCCGAGCGAGCCCTGCCACTGGGGCCTTCGGTGGAGCTCCCCATGGGGCCACGGTCCTCATGAGGGGTGTGCCGAAATGGCTCGAGGCCGCCATGTGAACCCTGCCACTGGGGCCTTCGGTGGAGCTCCCCATGGGGCCACGATCCTCGTGAGGGGTGTGCCGAAATGGCCCGAGGCCGCCATGCGAACCCTGCTACTGGGGCCTTCGGTGGAGCTCCCTCTGGGTACACGAAGCGTGCGAGGAGTGTGCCGAAATGGGTGATGATGATAATGGCGATGGTGATGGCGGTGATGACGTCGATGATGACGATGATGATGATGATGACCATGATGACGATGATGACGATGATAAGAGGGGGATGGAGGGGGCAGCGGGAGGAGGAGGTAAACGCGGGCGCTGTCTCTTCAAAACGAAGACCCAACACCACAGGATGGTTGGGAACAAAACCCAACAGCAAATCGGCATGGCGCGCGTTCTCGCCATTTCGCTTCCGACGCCCCCCCGAGGCATCAAGATGGCTCCAAGATTGCCTGGATGGGGCTCAGGGCTCCAGCATGGCCCCAGGAGCGCCCGCCCACCGCCGCCCCACCCTCCCCATCGAGGGGCATCCGCAGCGAGGGCTTCAGCACAGTGCGCCACCGCCCCATCGCTCTCGCCCTCGGCCCTCGGACCCCCCCCCCAACCAAAAAAAATGCCCAGGAGACGGTGACATACCGCCTGGAGCGGCTGCCATCGGCGGTGTTAGCGTCGCTAGCCGCACCCCAGCTGGTCAAAGGCCAGTTGTAGCTCCTCCAACTTATCCTCCTCCTCCTCCTCCCCCCTCCTCCTCCTCCTCCTCCCCCCTCCTCCTCCTCCTCCTCCTCATCCTATTCGCCAGCCTTGTCCCTCCTCCCTCATCAGCTCGCCTGGGCGTCGTTTCTGGATGGGCTGGCGGGGGCGCGCGAAGCGTCGGGAATGTTGGTGGAGGGGCGCGGTGGCCGACGGGGGAGACTACGAGACTACGAGGAGGACGACGGGGGGATGGAGAGGGCGACGAGGAGGATGTGGGCCGCTCGCTCCGTTTCCGACGAGGGAGAAGGCGAGGTCGGCGTGCCGCCTGCCCTTGTTCCGACGGCAACCTCGGCCCTCGGTCGAAGAATTACTCCTCGACGGGGTCACGCAAGGTATGCTGATGCACAAAAAGCTCGAGGCCCTGAGGAAGTCGTACACCCCAACCTCCGATGGCCCTTCAGTCGTCGACGATCATCTCGCACGTGACCATCAGGCTGACCTTCACGCCGCGCCGAAGCGGCCGTTCAGATCCAACAAGGTCTGGGCCGCGCGAAGCTTGCGGCCCACGTCGGTCAGGAAGGCCTCGGGAGGCACGAGGCCCAGACCCTCAGAAGGCCCCGAGAGGGCGCACATGTGGCCCCGAGAGGTGGGGCGTCTTGGAGACCACGTTGCGCTCTCTCAGGCCCTCTAGGGGCCATGATGAGATGTCTTGGGCACTCCAGGGTATCTACCCTGGCTTAAGCCGCCTCGCTCGCTCCCGCCCGTCCTCCGAACGCACAAGTAGCACCTGTGCCAATGGCCCCCAGGGCCATGGAATCTCACGCAAGGGCCGAGGGCCCCGGAGTCTAAGGGCCCTAAGAGCCCTAAAAGCCCGACGCGCCCTGGGGACCCCGAGACTCTCAAGGGCCCTAAGTGCCATAAGAGACCTATAGGAACCCTGAGAGCCGTAAGTGCACAAAGAGCCCTGGGCGCCCAAAGAGTCCTTAGAGCCCCGTGAGCTCTGCGAGCCCCAAGAGCCCTGAGGGCCCCGAATGATCATGGGGGCCCCAATAGCCCGAAGAGTCGCAAGGCCCTCAGAGCCCGGAATGCCCCAAGAGCAATCAACAAAGCTCTATGATACAATTGAGTCATCGGGGCCCTAAGAGCCCGAAGAAAAGCAGCGCGAGCCATAAGAGCCCTAAGAGCCCTCAGAGCCCCGAACGCCCTCGGTGCCCTAAGGGCCACAGGGGCCCTGAGAGCTCGATAGCCCTGGGGGCCCTAAGAGCCCCAAGGCCCCTAAGCGCCCTAAGAGCCCTAAGATCCCTGAGAGCCCTAATGGCAAACGGAGCTCTAAGAGCCCGAAGAGGCCTCAGGGGCCCTGTGATCCGTCGGGGCCCGATGAGCCCTAGGAGCCCTATGGGCCCTACGAGCCATAAGGGCCTTCAGATCCCGAAGGGCCCTAAGATGCCGAACGCGACCGCGACCGCGACGACGGCGACGACGAGAGCCCATAAGGAGGAAGAGGAGGGCGGAGGAGGAGGAGGGATGGGGGAGGATTGCCAAGTGCGTTATAGGCACAAAGGGGCCTTCAGTAGCCGCGGAGGCCTTGGCCTCGGCGGTCGTGCTCACGTAGCGGATGGAGCTGCCGACGCCGTTCTGGACCTTCTCGATGTCCTGCGACATGCACTGCACCTTGGCCTGGAACGCGTTCATGTCATCCTTGATGCTCTGGCGGAACTCAGGGAACAAGCGATGGCCCACCACCCTGTTGATGGCCGTCAACGTCTCCGTCACCTTTTTTTCTCGATGCTGTCGGCCAACTTGCCATTCGCCGCCGCCACCTTGCGGCTCTCGACGGCGGCCTTCCTCTCCTGCTTGGCCCTCTCCTTCTCCTCCAGCGCCTTCTTGCGATCTTTCTCCTCCCTCGCCCGTTCCTTCTTCGCTGCCTTATTTTTCTGCTTCTGCGCCTTCTGCGCCTTCATGTTTTTCTTCTTGTTCTTCTTGTCGCCCGAGCTGCTGCTCGAGTCCGAGCTGGAGTCCGAGTCGTCGTCGTCCGAAGGCTCCTCATCAAGCTCCTTGTCGGTGTCGGCGACCGTCGTCTTCTTGATCTTCTTGGAGGGGTGCGAGGCCTCGGCGACGCGGGGCCGCTCGGTGCCCCTGGCTCCCCGATGGCCTCCAGACAGGGTCGGGACGCGGTGCGTTGCGCCCAAGACCCTGCACTGCCTCTTGTCCTTCTCCAGGCTGTTGGCCTCGATGGGCGCGGCATCGAAGCCGCGCGTGCTCCACGCGCCTAGGGGAGGAACTCCCCTCCCTCGGCGTAGTAGTCCTCGTGATTCTCGTACTTCCGCATGATCTCCTTGACTTTGGCGACCACCATCTTCCCGCTGGAGACGTCGCGCACGCCCTTGGAGAAGGCCTGCTGCGTCTCCTCGCCCAGGCGCTTGTAGTCGCTGCTCGGGAACTCGCCGAACTCGCGGCTAAGCTGCGCGATGTGGACATTGCAACGGTCGCACCTGTACTTCTGCTGCGACTTGCCCCTCAACCGAGCCCTGTCTGCAGTTGCCTCTTCGTTGCACCGCCCGCATCGCAACCGAACGTCATGCATGAACGTGGGGCGCGTGATCATCGTCGGCTCTGGGCGCATCTGGGCGGGCGGCTGCGGCGGCAACTCTGGGAAAGGCGCCCCAGGCGGGGGCTCCTCGGCGGCGGCGTCGCCATCAAGCGGCGGCGCGTCCTCGGGCGCCTCGGGAGGGGCGCCCGCTGCGTCGGGCGGGTCGTCGGCGCCCCGCGGCGCCATCATGCTCAAGACGGAGACGACCGCCACCCTCGCCTTGGGCTTGGCCTTCGGCTTCGGCTTCGCCGTCGCCTTTGGCTTCGGCTTTGGCTTCGCCTTTGGCCGCGCCCCAGCCTTCGCCGCCGCCGTGGGCATCGCCTCCGCCCTCGGCGGCGGCGCTGGGCTTGGCGGCGGCACCGAGCCCGCCCCGTCCACCACCCCAGCGGGCACAACCTGCGTCTCCTGGGGCGGCCGCGGCACACGCCGCAACTGCGGGCCGCTGGGCGGCGTCATGTCGGCGATGATGGCGTCGACCTCGTCGGCGTCGTCGGCGGCGTCGGGCGGGCTGCCTGTCAGCGCCGCCTCCGCCCTCCCCAGGGCCCGCTCCGTCGTTCGACATTGCGGGCAGGGGAAATCGTCGAACTGCATGTGGTGGGCGTCGAGGTGCATGTCCACGCAGTAAGCGCGGTATTTGTGAAGGCAGCCGGGCGTCCGAACCTCCATGCCGCCCAGCAACGCTTGAAGGCAGATCGCGCACGTGGTGTCGTCGGCATCGCTGGCAGTGGCCATCTCGGTCTCCT